ACGTTTCTAATTCTGAGGTTTACTTTTTTACTTTATGAAGAGAACATCATTACTATGTTTTAATCACTGCTATATACACCCCTATGTTCACATGAATTTTGTCGACAAAAGCAGAACAACACGTGTAAGAAAATATCTATAAGACGGTATTGCCATGTATAACTGTTGATTTCCAAGCTTACCTCTACTATGGATTCGTTCATATTTTGTGGATAATGCGGTTTTAAAAGGTTGTTAGCCAGTAATTTCTGTCAAGTGGTTATTTGGCTAACACTTGGCTATGATGATTATAAAATGTTACCTATACACATATACTCCGGTTACATATCCTTATTTAGTGCAGGATATGATGTCATCGAGTGTATAGTATTACGCAGTGCAATATATGCGGCACTAATGTCAGGATTGAATGTGGATTGGTTTATACTGTTTATACATTTTGTTGATATTTTTGATAGATCACCCATATAACGTTGTGCGCTGTGTCAACAGTAAGTGACTTTATAACTCTTTTCCGGAATATGGCCTAGACCTGTTGATAGCTGACACGTTATATGTTTTAAACTCATGGGACCCATGGATAGTGTTGCTGATCACTACCACTATGGGTGCCCTGCTGACCGAATTTTTAAGTGGTGCAGTGTACTTGGGCATTATTCTACCTATTGTTTACGTAATGGTAAAAACTATTTTATTCTGAACGTAAGGTTAAATGACATAGTGTAATCATTACAAGTCCATACCTTATCGTTTGATATGTCTCAAAATAATTGTTTTAAAAAGTTATGAACGTTGTGGATGTCAGAAGTTCAGTCAGTCGGTCACCAACACCGTCAATGTGTAAAATGAGCAAATGATGATTGTATCGCGCACGTATCTGTATCATTCCCTTAAGCACAGTTCACATAATGCAGAGTACGTAATGTTTAGATAATTTACACAGTGTTTGAGTGATAAGTAAAGGAGTATTCATTTCCCAATTATGTAAAAACAAATGTTGCCATGTAAACACATGCAAGTCATTGTAGTAAAATTATATGAATGTATGTGCTATGTAACTATTTTACCATTTATATATTGCGGATGTATTTTTAATTTTATTTGTATATTCCAACTTGTAGGCCAAGACGGGTGTGATGCTGGACTTTCTGTGTCTCATCATTAGAAATAAATATATGAACATATTTGGTAGGAAGTTCCTTAGTGTTGATACTGTACCTGCTTGGCAGTAATAAATCTCATCAAGGTGACAACAACTGTCGCAGCTGTCACGGTATAATTCTCAACGCTAACAACATTTCTCGATACATTGATTATTGTACTCGATTCTTTCTGTAATTAAAGGAAAGACGTACTGTATTAAAATTTACTATAATTAGTTGAACTGTGCTTAATGAAAAGATTGGAAATCAATTGACAGTGTCAATTTTCAAACTAACGTTAAAACAACAGCCACAATCGATAATTTGAATGCAAAATTGTATTGCAGAAATGTACGTTGTCTTGAGAACATGTTTAAGACATTGCGACATATACGCTAATGCACATTTGCGAAGAAGGTGAGAACATATGATGATAATTCGCTATGCCATTATTTGTATGTTAAGGAAAGATTCTGTAATTTATATCCCACAAAAGCTGTATTTTTGGTAGTAGTCAAATGTCAGTTGTGGAGTGGAGTGACCTGATTCTGACCGGTGACGTCATTCAACGAACTTGCTTAAAATTTGTTTACAGTACATGTACATGGTACAGAATTCTACAAAATATTTATAAGATATTCAGTATCATGATGTCCTTCATCAATATCCACCGACAAAAAAAGACGGTATGTTATGGCCAATTCCTACAAAATTGAAAAATTAGTTCCCAAATATATAGCTCAATACAGCTATGTACTATATATAGCTGTTTTACAACATACCTAATTGCAAAAGCTAACTGGCAATTCAGTGTGGAATACAAGGCCCTGCAAATAGGTGGAGTTACCTTTTGCAATAGTTAAGTTCCTCCTAAAATATGTAGTTCTGTTTGTTTGATTCGCATTATATGGATTGGAGCCCTGTCAATACGTCTTGTTGATTTAAAGTTATGTTCTGTGAATTTGAAGTTGTGTTATGCAAATTTAAAATTATTTCATAAGAATTTAAAGCTTTGTCTTGTGAATTTGAATTATCCTGACAATTGTTGGACACTGTATAATTGTCGATAATATAAACGTTATATTGCCGACCACACAACACAACAACTGTAGTGACAGATGACAAAAGTGTGCAAATAAATCACTGTCATCATGCCTGCCTGATGCAGCCCAAATCCGTAGCAGTGAAACAGGTAAACCTCATGAATAGAATGTGGAAAAAGTGTGCCATGTGAAATAAACAAACAAAAAAATAAACTATTGTAATTTTGCGACATTGGGTATTATTAATATGAATATTTTAGTCATT